GCCAGAAAAAAGTCTGCTCAATATTCTCCGCCGACAATTCCAGGAGTGTATTGCAATCAAAAAAGTCCAGAAAGTAGACCAAAATTTTCACTTGCTTAGGAGTGTTATTAGTAAAGAATATCGTTATTTTATTAATGTGGGAAAACCGAATATCTGGCGAAAAAAATACTGTTGAGATTATAATTTCCCCTTAGAAACCCGCAAACTAAATAGTATTTTGCGGTTGTTTCGGGGGCGGCATGACTTTTTTAATTATTGTCATTGCCCCCAGAAAGACCGCGGAAAAACTAATACTGTGCGGGAAATTTTTTCCTTAAAAAGTTGAAAAAGGAAAAATTTGGTGATAATCAGCATTATTGCTCCCGGATTTCTTCGCTACCAAATCCGAGCCATAATCGGAGAAGTAATTAACTGTTATGAAAGAAAACAAACCCTCGCCGATTTAAAAGAAAAGTTAGCGGAGGGGAATAAATATAAAAATCTGGCTCCGGCTTCGGGATTGTATTTGTGAAAAATAAGTACTTTTTAGCCTTGCGTGCAACAAATCTAAATTACATATTCTTCGGCTTAAAAATGCGGAAACTTTGACAAGAGGTTTAATTTTAAATTAACCATAAATATCAAGTTAAGAGATATTTACGCTTACATTATACAAAATTAATGTCCGTTTTTGACTGTGTTTGAATTACTTTAAAGTAATTTAGTGAAGTGTAAAAAAGAAAATTTAATTTGAATAACGCAAAAGTAATTCCAGACAAAACAAAAAGCGAAAATTAAGTTTCCAAAAAAGTAGATTGTTTTGTTCCTTTTCGTTTAAGACAAGTTTGCTACTATTTACATTAATTAAATTAGCATCAGTTTCTTACTCAACCAACTCTCTTGAATACTAGAAACTAAACAATTTCGCATTTTGTTAATATTACCTAAAACCAAACTAATTTGCTTACCGCTTCTTAAAAAGAACTAAAAAATCCATTATGAAACACAGTCTTATTTATCTTACGCTTTTTCCCCGTATTTTTCACGACTATTTTCAAGTCTCGTTGGCTCAAAAAATTTGGAAAAAAGGATTGATTGCTTATCGGACTTATAACATTCGAGATTTTGCTGTGAAAGGTAAAGTGGATGATTATCCTTATGGGGGTGGTCGGGGCATGCTACTAAAAATTGAGCCATTAGTGCGGGCTTTGGCAACTATTCAAGAAATTCATGCACCAAGTTACGTTATTTTACTTACCCCCCAAGGAGAAAGGTTTCGGCAAGAAGACGTGGCTCGCTTGCTTAATTTGGGACCTAATTTAGTTTTTGTTTGTGGTCGTTACGAGGGATTTGACGAGAGAATAGTTAATTATGTAGACGAGCAAATTTCTCTTGGTGATTTTATTACCATGGGGGGAGAGATACCGGCCTTGGCTATTACTGAGGCTTTAATTCGAGCCGTTCCAGGGGCTATTAAGAAAGAGTCTTATCAGCAAGAAACTTTTACTAACTCCCAACTAGATTTCGCTAATTATGCTCCGCCGCGGATTTTTGAGGGTTTGGCCGTGCCCGAAGTTTTATTATCGGGCCACCACCAAAAAATCGCGGCATGACGGCAAAAAAATAGTGTCGAAAAAACTCAGCAAAGCCAGGGAAAAATTGTCAAGCAAAAGAAAATTATTTCTAACCCAAACAAATGACGTTTGAGTAAAATATTTCACCCCACCAAGAATTAATTTTACTTTTACTCCTTACTAATTAGGTTATTTTTTTAACTAGTGGTGTTCTAATTTGCCTAGCACTCGTGGCAATTTAAGGAAGTTTGACGAAAAAAACCATCTGTAATATTTTTGTTTAAATCAGATTTTTCAGGCTAAATAAAAAGCATTTTTTAGCCCAGTCTAAGAAAAATTTCCCAGCTAAAATTTTTTGCCCTATTCCTCTGCTTTCGAATATCAGTTATCGAAAACTCGCAAACCAACATTAATAATACTTATTTTAAAAATAATTTGTGGTTTGGCTCTTTTTAGTTTGGAAGAAGTTAATTAATTTAATCAGTATCAGGTGAAAAAAAA